TAATATTTAGAGAAGAAATAATTGTATCTATAAGTACTAAGGAGAAGAGACATTCTCTCTATATTTTAAAAAATAAAATAAAAAAGAGAAAAAAAATTAAAACAGATATTATTTTTATAAAAAAAATTTGTTAAGTACGATTTTACATATATTTACAGTTATTTTGTTTTAACCCTTTGTGAATTTATTTTATTTTATAACTAATAAATAATAAATACTTAGATGAAAATGTTAAACAAAATATGTACATAAAAATGGAAAATCTTTTTTATACACATATATATATATATATAACTTGAAATTTTCATATAGATGAGTTTGATTAGATTGATGGAAATCCAATTATTTTGTGTTATGTGGAAATTGTTGTTATATGTTAGTTGATGATTACATGTTGAAAATAATGTTAACTCTCTTATAACATATGGTAATATATGATGTCCTAAATTATTAAATGTTGAAATATGATGAATTGTTGACATGGATGACGATGAATGGAGATGTTTAAAGTTATTTACGTTGTGATTAAAGTTGTTATGTTGAGATTACTATACATATTGTAAGTTGTATTAGTTTTAGGAAGTTGTACTTCAAATTATTTAGTTGGGTTTGAAGTCGATTTAATTGTTAAGTTGTTTGAGTGTTTTCAATTGACTAGTGTTACTTTTGTAAATATATGCTTAAAATTGTAAAAGTTACCTTGATGTTAACTCAAATTTAGAACATGTGCATATTATTCTAACCGTTGCTGTTAAGCCAATTTTAATGGTTTAATGTTCTTTAATCTAGTAGCACTAACATGGAATATTTTTTGCTAAAAACCTATTTTGGTCCCTTATAATAGTTGTTTGTTTCAATTTAGTCCCACTTTTATTTTTGGTCTCAATTTGGTCACTAATAAATTAATTGGTTGCAATGTCGGACTTTCGTCCAAATTATTTAAACGGAGTTAACTGTTGGCCACGTGGATGCCAAATTTCATTAATGCATCTAGAACCAGAACGGTCCGTTCTGAAACCAGAACGGCCCGTTCTGGTTCCAGAATGCCAAACACAAACGGTCAATGATTATAGTTCACAGTTGTGAATCGTGCAAAGAAAAAGACCTAAGGTACAAAGTATTTCAAACACTTGATTTGGTAATATTGTCAATGGAGATTGATAACTTTAATTGCTAAACATTTGGGCTATACAGTATATCATTAAGGACAATGCAGTGTATCACTAATGGTAGCAAGTTTTATTTCATTGTTGGTCAAACTGGAGTGAATCACTTACTACCAAATTGACACTATACAGTCAAGAATGAAACATGGTATTTCCCCTTGAAGTCATTGACCGATGTACCCCAACAACAACGACCTGTTCTTAAGGAGGTACAACCTGAAGTAGAGGAAGAGGATACACAAGACCTACATTTCACCATACAACCACATGCACAGGTAGATAATGTTGATATCCTATCAGCCATTCAGTGTTATATGGTGGATAAGATGTATTATTGACACCTTCAGCATTATCCAGATGATTTCTCTTCTAAGTAATTTCTTTAAACTTTTTTAGTATATGTTATGTTATGTTATGAATTTTTGCTTTCAGTCTCTGAACCATATTTCTGTCTTTGAATTTATGATATGTTATGAATTTTTATTTTCAATTTTTGAATTACATTGCGGCATTTTGTTGAACGCTGATATGTTGTTGGCGTTTCAAAACGGACCGTTCTGGTTCTAGATGCATTAATGAAACTTGACATCCACCTATGCATTTACGTGGCATCCACGTGACCAACAGTTAACTTCGTTTAAATAATTTGGACGGAAGTCCAACATTGCAACCAATTAATTTATTAGGGGACCAAATTGAGACTAAAAATAAAAATGGGACTAAATTGAAATAAACAATTATTATAAGAGACCAAAATAGGTTTTTAGCCAATATTAAACATACACCTTTTATTTAAATAAAGTATTTCTTATAAAATAAATATTTTTCTACTTCTTTTTAATGTGTCTGTCTATATTTTTTAATAAATAATTTTATGTCGTTTTTAAATAATTCCTATAAACTTAAAAATGACTTTTTAAAATTTTAAACAAACCAGCCGATCACTGTTTTTTTAATACATTGTTTTGCTTCTACAAGTGTGTAAATTAAACAAGTAACGAATAATACATTATTTTTATGTTAAATAACTATAATAATTTTTTTGAGTTATATCTACATTGGAAATTTTACATTGACAAACTTGTAGAAACAAAACAATAAAATAATTGTATGTACGGTCGTGTTTGTCTTCATTGAACGCATGCATTCTCAAAAGGCGTAGCTGTGCAAATAAATCATGTGATTATTAGATTTTCTATCGATCGAAATTATAATTTATAATATTTTTCAATACATTTTTATAATTTATATTTATAATAATATTTTAATCAATAAAAAAATGAATTTGAGAATATTTTTACAGCAGTTGAT